GTCTCTCCAAATATTCACTCTTAAATTTTCGCTCATAAACTAGTGCATCGTAAAGGTTGGGGAACGTGTCGTTCCCCAAAAAACTATAATCTTTCTCTTGACTGTCCTCCATGCCTCGTTCTTTTCAAAATGGCGGATAAGATTTCAATGAGCCAGCGATATATCTCAGTCAGCGATATATCCCTAACAATGTAACGTTGAAAAAACGGACCAGGAAAACGGACCGTCTGCATTTTGACAGCCTTCGGCTGGGCCCCGGTAATTAGTGGGGAGGAGCGTTGCGTGACGACACTAAAAACGGATCTGTAGCAGACTAGCAAAAGGGCCGTACTCAAGAAATTTTTCACTCTTTCTGTTCCACAGCTGTTCATGATTGAAATAACTTACATTCTGAATAATTGACAGGAGCAACGCACTTCATATCACAGCCTCTCGAGCAGCACTTCAAAGAAGTCTCGCAATCTTCATCTTCAAAACATTCTTCCTCGTGTTCTGATAAGAACAAACCCTGTTGGCAATTCACTGCTGGTCTCTGGTATGGACAGTCTCCAACGGCTTTTCGAAGGTCTGTGGGATTCAATTAAAGAGATTGTTCACGAGTATACACCTCATTAGGGGGCTATATAAGAGTATGTCTCCTCCTCACCAGATACTTACAAAAGTTTAGGCACCTTAATTTTGAATTTAATATCTCATGTTTACACAAAGGAGTCTGGTATTTTGATTACACGATAGAGTCTCAAGTAGGTTGAGAATGATCAACCGGAACTGTTGTTGACAGTGACTGACGTTTCGACAACCTGTGCGTTAGTCATCTTCAGAGTCAAAGTGAGTTGTATCATAGCCTGCGTAGCAGGCACTTGGAAGTAGTGGGCGAAAGAGAGAACGTGCGCGCGCGAGGGAGACACGCGAGGTCTCCTTCTCGCGCGCCCGTTTTTTTTTGTGCCCACCACTTCTTAGCGCCTGCTACGCAGGCTAGTTGTATCACGTCAGTTGATGGTAATGAAGTACTATCGTAAACCTGGTCGACACATAAATTTTGTTTAAATACTAAAACTGAAATCTTTTGCAATCATTATAACGAGCGTATCTGGCGGAATTTTTACGAGACTTTTTTGCATTGGTAGCCTGCATTGCAAGCCGGTGAGGGATGACTTGATTCCTGTAACCTTCTCCCGATCTTTTGACTTGATCCCAATCTTCTCGTAGTCTGCGTAACAAGCACTTTCGCGCGGTTTCGGAGCAAAGAACGAAGAACGAGAGTCAAAGACCGCGAGATAAAAAATGGCGCTTGTTCCATTTCGCGCTCGGCCAAATCCGAAGTCTTTGTTTGCTCCGAAACGAAACTGAAACTCTACGCAGGCCAATCTTCTCTTGGCTAGGTCGCCAAAACATATCCCACCAGCTACGCAGGCTACAACCAATGACATTAAGTTTGTATAAATGACCAAATGACCGACTTGCTTTATCGTCTGATATCTCAGACTGGGATATCTCACTTGTTTCACTTGTTTTCAATTTTTAAGAACGGTATCATTTACAAACTGCAATACTACGGACTTTGAACCCCGAGGGCTGGCGAAACAGCAAGGTGATTTTTTAAAGGGAATTACACTTGAGAATTCTGTCATGTGAATCTGTCTCCTCTTAAGGTGCTGAGATAACGTCTGATACTTTTGACTTGCGATCAGCGTTTTTCTTTGACTAGGAAGTTCCTGGCCTGCGGCTGCGTAATAAAAAAATAAAGGGGGTCAAATCTCCGACTGGAGCTTTTCGACCTTTGTTCAGTGCCAAACAGTTAAGGGAAAATGGCATGCAAAGTGAATTGAGAACCGCAAGTTGAAAAACACAAGACTAAATTTACAAGGACGACATCAAGAAACGTTGATGCGAACAAAAAGGAAAGTGAGACAAGGTTGAGTCAGTCGACTTGTCTTTTAAAGCAACTGTTGAAAGTGCGTGTTTGAAAAGTCTTTTTTTCTGCGATCCGGCTTTTTTCACATTGCCTAGGCTCTTTTAAGGGTGGTTATAAACATTGCGGGATCACAGACTTTGTACAAAGGCGGGACAGCAATCGGTGTATTGTTTTTTCGGCGACACTTTTCTTAGTTCGCTTATCATTTTTGTTCGTTTTTCGTGATAGACCGTAAGAATGTTAGGACAACACAAGTAGCACAAGTAGCACAAGTGCGCCTCTCTCTACATTTCAACAATTGGCAAATGGACAAGAATTTCTACTTGGTAATCAGAAACAACACTTTTCTGTTAAGTACGTTGTCATGTTCGTGAATTTTAGCACCAAAAGTCACATGTTTCTTAAAGCGAATCAGAAATTTCTTTTATATGTTAGGCTTCTGTTTTCAGTTTTGTGCATTTCAACAACAAATATCACGTGTAGAAAAGGATTTTGAGTGAGAAATAGGTTCGTGTGTTTACGCATTACAGCTTGAAACAGCACACACCATAACAATTTGGAATGCAAAACTGCCGGCTGGTGTACCGCTAGCAAACAGGTACAGATTAGTCCTTCGGGTAAAAGAACCATCTTTTCTTCAAGTGCAAAGCACTTTCCCCCCTAAATTTTCTGTTACTACGAAGAAATTATCCCTTTCGATACTCATCCCTCGAAATATAATCCCAATGCACTCTTCGAAAGTTCGAGACCATAAGTGCCTTTTAGAAAAGTATATTTTGACTTCAGATTTTTCATAGGACACAGCACACAATCAAGCCAGTGTGAGTTCAGTGTCAAGTACTCAGTGTATATGAGCTAAAGCATACCACTGTTAGGTAAATTCTTGCGTCAGACTGACAAACCCCAAAAACATTTTCTTTCTTCCTTTCTTCCCCACCCCCTCCCTGCTCTTTTACTTGCGCCATTTTCCGCGCGGTCTTTGACTCTCGTTCCTCGTTCTTTGCTCCTAAACCGCACGGAAACGCTTGCTACGCAGGCTACAGGGATAATAATCTGGCATGAGGTAAACGAATGCTTTTAAAAACTGTTTCGAAGACAGGGTTTGTTTGCATCGAAGGAAATAAACTGGACCGTAGTCCTCGACACGGTCGACAGGCTCGATTCGAAAAAACTCGTAGAGAACATTCCACGGAAAACCTCCAAAGCTTTTAAGACCGGTCTTTTTAACAAAGTTATTTCTTACATCGAAGATCAGGCGATTCGTTGATTCATTTGAGCGGTAAAGCCATTTTTTATGTTATGATTATAACAATAAAGAGAGAATTAGTCAGTATTTAATACGCACCTCTGAATACACCCCGCCTACATTCAACTGCAGTCGGAGTAACTAAAGCCAATGCCAACACCAAGGGAAAGACGTTCATTTTTTACTCGTTCGTCCTTCAGTCTCCAGTAATCTTGCTTCGACGACGACTGATGGATTCTACGAACGGAAGATACTAGATAGTATCAGTTATATTGCTTTGCCGTGCCGTGGGGGGCAGTTAATTAAAAATGGCAAAGGTTAGAAACAATATATCATTGAAATATGTCAAAATAGCGTCACTACAGATGTCGCCTTAAAACTCCTCCAGTGTTGATGAAAAAAGCAAATCATCTGAGGATACTCCCTGTAACCGGGGGAAGTCCGGATTCCAAATGAGGGGGGCGATAGAAGGATTTGGGGGCGGGGGGTTTGATGTTTTCTGATTCCTTGATTTTTGGGGGGTGGAAAACTTAACCAAGTATTTTTTGTGTGAGTGTGATTTCATTAAAGAAGGGATTTTTTCTTTTTGTTTTTTTGTCTGTCTGTTTGTTTGTTTCTCTTTGTGTGCGTGTGTGTGTGTGTGTGTGTGGGGGGGGGGCATGGCAAGGGGTAGGGAAATATTATTTGGCGTTGTTTGAAGCCCTGAGGATTTTTTGGCCTCCATCCCATCACTGATCCCGGTCACTTCAAATCCACTCTAGAAAAGAAGCAGGAAAAAACATTGTTTTTGCAATTGTATAAAAGAAAGGGACATTTTTTTCTATGGAAGGTATGTGATTGAAGGAGATTGACAGAATAAAGGTTTGCTGACTACAGGAGCAACGCATCTCACTACAAAACATTGTTGGTAGAGACCCCCGGGTAAGTTGCAAGAGCTTAAATCACTATTAAATTTGTCTTTTTTTCACTACAAACCAAAATTAAAGATTAGCCATGGGAACAACGAGTTATTTTAAGTAGGTTCCATTATGTCTACAAGCTACAAAGCCATCGACGTACTCAATTTATGAGTCCACAACTGTTTATCTTCATCACACTTTGTTTAGATATTCAATAAAGCGGCAATCAGTCATTAAAATGCACTCTAATTTTTTTTTGTTTATGTAATCAATTTGTAGAAGCAATTTGGCACAATATCAAATTGCTCAGTTTTATGTCTCTTATCGATGAGCCTTGAGAGCGGTTCAATAACTGAATGATGATGAAGTGTTGAAATGCTTTAGCATCTCATGTTCGGTAATGGAGCTAATGCTAGTTTCTGGAAGTTTCTCTCACAAAAAGACATTTTCCCCCTCAAGAGTCGAATTTGTTCCCCTTTAAAACTTATTACACAACATCGAAGCCTGCGTAGCTGTTGATTTTGTTGACTGTGCCGTGAAATAAACTTGAAGTTTGGAAAACCTTGTGATCGTGCGGGGACGGTTAAGGCCTGTTTACTAAATAGGCCATTTGCACTAAGAGATCACGTGACCAATGCTTCCTTTAAACGATGCGTTGGAATCTTGCTGATGCCAAAATTGACAGAGCACATGAAAATTATCTTACTCCCGAAATTTGAGAGGAAACGCATTTAAGGGAGATATTTTATGGCACTTTGATTTTTCAACAAAGCAGTATGATTTGTATTGGACGCCATATTGGAGGGCATACTCGTGCCCTCCAACATGGAGGCCAAAACTACTTTTTGCTTATATCTAGTTAAACGTTTGATAGTTACGCTCAGATGTGCTGTAAACGTTACCACATCATTTCCCTGCTAGCAGAGGTCTCTCAAGACGAGGCAAAAATGAGTTCCCTGCTAGCAGAGGTCAGGGAACCACATCATCTTTTCAAAATTTCCCTTGAACTTTAAGTGCAAAATTTGTGTTCTGAAAGATAGAATACCTAATTTTAAAAATCACATTTTGGTCACGTGACCAGCTACGAACTTACTCATTTTAAGAAAATGGTCCGGGTTTGAAAAACCAAATCACTATTATTTTGTTTAAGATATGACCCACTAATCGTTTTTCGAAGACAAAATCATATAACTTTCATTTTCAAAAACACGATGTCACATGACCTCTTAGTGAAAATGGCCTATTGATAGCAAATTCGTTCCCAAGGTTCTCTCCTACCCGTCCAGTCCCTGGGAACGAGGTTGAATTGATAGAATTTTGCACGGCAGTGGCGCGACGTTTGAAATCATTCAGTCATTATGACTCTTGGTTCAGCAACGAATTTACTTCGACACGGCAATTAAATTCGACAGGGTCTGCCTTACTACACGGCAGTGGCATGGCTTGGTTCAATCGTCGTGCTATTGCCGTGCCGAACCCAATTCATAGATTATGAAAATGTATATGTTTAAGTGTTTTGAGTCTACTGCGCCTGACTGCGACGTTTTCTTTATTTTGATTTTGGCGCGGCTGAATTAAATTCGACGTTTGAAACCACTCCCGTGCTATTGCCGTGCAACTGCTTGCCTCCAACGCAGACGTTCTTAGGGGTCCCGAATCTCGCCCCCCTTTTGCTTAAAATCCCGAATCCCGGCCTTCAAGTAAGATAAATCGCGCATCCCGAAACCCTCCATTGGGGATCCTAACCATAGGAACCTGGTCAACGGTGTCCCGCCATCCCGTGCATACTTTCAATATGGTCCCGAAGGCTTGCCCCCATTTGCTTTAAAATCCTGAATTCCGGCCTTCAAAATCCCGTATCCCAAAAACCCTTAAACGTTCGAACGTTGGATAGCGCTATCCACCGGATAAATCCCTATCCAGCGGATAAGTATTAGGGAAACCAATTCCTTTATCCACTGGATAGATTTTACCTTGTGGATAGCGCTATCAAACGTTTGAACCACCGGGGCCTGTCTGAATGGCGTCCCGGCAAATTCTTGAACCACAAGAGGATGAAACCTATACTGGATCTTCGCAATGCTTGGAAGCGCTATATAAAAAGTGACCACAAACAGAATTCGTCGATAGTAAACTCCCTTGGACGGACAATTTTGGGACCGGCACAAAGAGTCGGTCTTAGAGAGATGTCAACCAAGGGATGAAAGAAAGGCAGGGACAAAGGGGTACTTACCATTTACCTGAAAAAACCGGAAAATCCGGTTGGAAAGTCGAATAGTTCGCGCCATTTCATTTGAGAATCTTCAGAAAACACGGGTTGTGATTTGAGAGCAATGCAATTTTTCTACCTTTTAAAATCTGTTCAGCTGATTTGGATAGTACTTTGCTGTGGGTCGCTCTCCCACCTCGTCATATGTTTATGCACAAGATTTCCACCAGGGTGGTTTGTGTAAATGGTAAGCATCCTAGGTGTCCGTTTTACCGAGGTGTCCACTAAGAGAGTGATGGAAGCTTGTCTCTTAGGAATTCCACGTACTCTATCTTTTTCCCTTCGAACATGCTCCTTAACATAACCGGCTGCTAACGACATAACTACACAATTCCCCTGCGCGCTTATCAAAGAGTATCTGTGAGGGCCTCGTCAAACGAGGGGTGAAACAAATGCAGGCGTTTAACCAGTGGCTAAGACTCAGGTGACCTCTGTTACCTGTGACTGGCGTGATTATAATGTCGCAATAGTGCCAGGCAGTACCTACTGCTATGTTGCGGGTAACAGGCTCTTTGCAGGACTCAGTCACGTGCTTAGATACCACTTAGCAACGGATCGCAGGATGGCAAGCCATCTGAGGGTTCATTCCGATCACAAAGCTTTGAGTACGCTCTGAGTAGGGTCGAACGAAGCAATCCTGGTTTAATCATTCTCTTGAAAATTAACCAAAATGAGTGGATTAGGAGACTTAGACGTTTTAATTAAACAAGGAAGGCTTCCCCCGATCGCATTCAAAGCTTTGAGTCATATCAACACAACTTGCTTATCCGCTTTCTATTATCTTTATAACATGCGTAGAATTAGGAAATATTTAAGTCGCTGAGTCACCGAATCATTAGTTCATGCTTTTATAACCAGTAGAGTAAGTTATTGTAACAGTCTACCATACGACCTCTCGAATTCACATATCATGAAACTTCAACCGATACGGAATGCTGCAGCTCGGCTGGTCACTGGAACACCCAAGATTCGGTCATGTTACACCATTGCTTTTCCGCCTTCATTGGCTTCTGATAAGTTACCGTATAAAGTTTAGGATTCTACTTTTGACTTTCAAGTGCTTATATGGTCAAGCTCCTAATTAATTAATTGATTTAGTTACTATCAAAAAGCCTTCCAGGTACTCAAATGAATCTATATTTCTCGAGTTACCTGGCATTAAGACCCGCCCAACTCTTGGCGATCGTGCATTCCAGTCAGCCGCACTTGATCTCTGGAATGCATTAACACTTTTAAGACTGCTGTTAAAACTCATTTTTTAAATTTAGCTTTTAAATAGATTTTTTTTTATCGTTTGCTTTTATTGTGTACAGGTTGGTAGTATTTAATAGTTTCTTACGCTTTAGTCACCTTTAACATAAATTTAATATAACAATATTGTATCAAAAGCGAAACCAAATATATTCATATAGAGATTTGCGCTATATAAATGTAAATTATTATTATTATTATTATTACTATTATTATTATTATTATTATTATCTGAATAAACATTTGAAGTGGTATCCAAGCACGTGACCACGTTTTGCAAAGAGCTAGCCAATTTAGCGATTGAAGTCCCACTAGGGATGGACGTTTACAGTGTTTCAAATCATTCACCACCTTAGAAACGAGAAGACTGGACCGAGTTGACTTTCCCAAAGACTTATGGGACTGTTATTGGGGACATGGAAAAAATTGGCCAATAGCTGACCGGCGCGCCCTGGTAACAGTCCCAGAATTCTTAGCGAAAGTTAACTCGACCCAGTCCCCCTCTCGTTTCTTAAGTGGCAAATGAAGTGAAGTTGTTAAATAAGCGACAAAATATGTATAGGGTTCACGTTAACATTTATTTTAGGCTATAATATAGAACACAAAATAAAAATAACAGCATAAAGTGTCGTTGGAATCCGTAAATCTTTTCTAATGACTATTATCGTAAATACGAATATCGCTCACGTGCTTCAACAAAATCACCTAAGAAGAACAAGAATCGACAACCGCTATAATAAAAGAACATCTGAATGTTCGAACTTGACCTTGTGTTTCTTTGCGCTATAATAGTTTAAGCAAATTCGACAATGTACAATGTAAGAGCCGTCTGTAGGGTCAGCAGCTAATACACAAAACATACGGGACCCAATTCAACTGTTAATTGCGAGTCCACTTGACTTTGTGGTGCCCAGTCTACTATTGGAAGGCTGTTTTTCCTTTTAGTAGACACTTCGATGGTCATTTTCTTATTTCCATTTTGGGAGGTCTGCAAAAAAAAGGTGACATTAAAAATCACGAGTGTTCAGTGTATTGGTAGGAGTTTGAATCCCGGGATCGAACCTCGAAAATAATCCAGGGACCCGTTTCTCTAAAGTCTCGATAGTCAACGGGCCCGGACAGCTGTTGTTGTTTACATTCAAGATCGAGGTTTCAATAGTTTTGTAGATAATATAACACAACTGTCAAAAACAAAACAAAACGGACTGGTTTGTTAGCTAGGACCTGCGATATTATTCCATAAATTTTGATGTGAACATTTCATAACAAACCGAAAAGTTAACGGGTGTTAAATAAACAGGCAACAGCCTCCTTGTCCGGGATGAGTACGTTTCCCTGCCAGGCAAGTTACTTCATGCTCAGAGCAAGCTAATTTTATATGTAAGAGCTGCTTGTCCAGAACAAGCAGGAATTTACGTTTTTTAAGTCTTGCGGTATAACTGAAATTTCATCTCCGTTATCCAGTATGTCAAGAACTTCCAATTTTCAAGCTTTCTGACTCTAGTTACCTTGAATACTGAGCTCACTTCAAGACTGATTTAAGTGTTGACAGCGATTCATCAAATTACAATGTTTGAGTCCCGTCAAGTCAGAAGTTTTTCCGCTGCTTTTTTAACATATAACTGCGAGGATCACATCTACACGCGCATCTTTCTTAAAGTTCAGGAACTACCTACCTCAGTAACATCAAGGTTGACCTTGTCTAAATCGTTCAACGCCACTTCATTTTCGCCTTTCAGATCAACCATGCAGCCAGTCTGCGCGCTGCTGGATTCAGTACAGCTGTAGTTCATTTCCTGGAAGGCGCTCCTGCTTAGGAGGCGAAGGAATTTCAGTTGTACTGAGTTCAGCTTGTATTCGATCTGAAAATCAAGTGAAAAATACGGGGCATCAGATATTAGGAGACATTGAGGTAGCTATGAAAAAGGAATGACTGCGCCATACGCAAGTCAAACTAACGGCGACTCGTCACAACTTCATTGGCTTGGGAATGGATGCACCATATCCTCATGTCAACAATCATGGACAAACGTCTAAACAGCGACTCGTCACAAGCCCTTCAAATAATGTTTGACCATGCATGTCAACATTGTATGCAAGGGGGTGGGAGGGGAGAAAACTGCTAGAAAATTTCGAAAAGGATGCACTGTTTTATGAGGGAACCCAGAATGACAGAATAAAGATGAATATTGCATTACTGTCCCAAGGACTTTTGTCCATGATTATAGTTAACGACCATTTAAGTGAGCAGTCAGGCCTAGCTGATTCCAGAAAGATTTTCTTGTTTTCAAACCTCAAGGACGTTTAAATTTCATACTGAAAAGAACTTGAACTAGTAAGAGTTACCGGTTCGTCCTCGTTTGTCCATTTTCCAGGTCCGGTTTCGTTTGCGCCAACAACAACCTACATGAAAAAATGCAACATTACTATCAACGAAAACTCTAACAGCCGGTAAATATAAACCACTAATAATAACTGGAGTCTTGTCAGCCTAGTCTCTTGGCGATCTCAGCTCGCCGTGACGTTAGCGAGGAACACTTGCCACGCGTTCTATCAGCTACACCTTACCAAACTTTGCGCGGAAAACGGGTCCAGGGGCCCGTTTCTCCAAAGTCCCGATAACTTGTCGGGCCCGAAATCAAATATTCAGATTAAAATAAAAAGAATAGTGGGGAAAGCAAAATGGATTTCGTTTCATTAAATAGTTTTTAAGATGCAAAAACCTTTCATGTAAACAACAAGGGGTTTGGGGCACGTTAATTATCGGGACTTTTGAGAAACAGGGTGGTTCCTGTGGGAAACTGGTTTTCAACCGCAAGGGGTCTGGGGAGAGACAGAGTGGTGGTTCCTGTGAGCACTGTTTTCAATACCTCATTCCGGTATACCAGCTCCCTGTATACCCTACGATTGGTCAGTCATTGTGACAGTTTTTTTAACACTAACGTCAATCATCCGGCTTCGCGCGCTCAGTCTAAGCACGAGCATGTGAGACCTTCCTACACAGCAACTTTTGACGTTATGACACTTGACATTTTGACTCAAGAAACGGTTTTTCTGGAGGTAGGCGGATTGAGGTATTTAAAAAGATGTTTACAGGCTCTCCCTTGCCGCTATTGTTCGCTCATTCGGTATTTCACTGCTCTCTCGCTGTTTTCGCTAGTCTGCAGACTGAGAGCCTGGCACAGGCTAGGCAAGAGAGAAGGCATAGGGACTATGCTGGACTCTTGCAACTATTTTTTACCTTGCTCTTGATCGGGTTGACGCAGGTTGCTTGTTTCTCAAAATCGCAGTATACTTTAACAGCATCGCTGCTGCATCCCTCGTTTGGATCGATCGTGTACTCACCTATGATTATAAAGAGAGACTACACGTTATGAAAACAGCCTTGAAAATATGCTTTCCTGAAGTAAGGCTGGTCTAAACAAAAGCTCTCTTGCAGTTGCCACTGAATTTAACATACGGAGAACGCTGAACGCCGCTTATATATTTTTGCAAGGGGTTTTAGGATGGGTTATAAACGAAGAGGATTAAATATGAAGGGTTTATAACCGTAACAGAAAGAGCGCTTTGGAACAAGCTATAACAGTGCTGATAAAATGCACCTTGGTTTTTAATGAAGCTTCAAAATGTCATAATCAATCGAATTCAGGGGCGTATAATTGGAGCTAAAGGGGGGGTTACATCCATTACGTCTCATTAACAGAAAGAAATTAGCAACCTTACGAAAGTACGACGGCAAAGGCAACGGAAACCTCGAAAAAGCCATTAAAACAACAACTCTGCAAGTGAATCGTGCTTTTTGGAACTTTCTTTGCCGTCTTTGCACTACTCCGCGAAATGGCCAATTTTAAGTTAACTTGAGAACGGGAACGGCAAGGCGAAAAATTTATTATCTCTGTCTGAACTCGCACGCGGTCCAGTTCCTTCAGCTCCGATCAAATTTACCTTCTTTTGAGTAACAGGGCGACTAGGATTAATCGCGAAATAGTTTGAAAGGATGCGAGGTCTATTTTTCAGCGATGTTTTTACCTGCGTCGCCGCTGTTGTTGGATTTTAAGGTCACTACTTTTGAGATTTAACGAACAAACGTTAAGTTCAACCAAACCAACCAACAAACAAAAGAGTTACAAACCGCTCGGGGAGTTGGGGTGATCCAGCTGAATATCTCTACACGAACGCGCAGGGTGCTCTTCGTCGCCGATCTGAGCTCTGTAATTGAGGATTTTGTTTCTTACTAGGCTGGTCATATAGTCAACTTCCTCACTCTAAGAAAAGAAAAAACAAAACAAAACACGCAACAATCAGAGCTTATAATGTTACGTTAGCTAGAAGAGTGCTAATGTATGTATCAGGCACTGTACAGCTCTAAGAACGGAAAAATCTACTCGCGTGGAGAAAGACGCAGGGAGAAAGACGAGTGGAGAAAGACGCGTGAAGAAAGGAAGGGAGGTCGCGCTTCTCCGATTCTTTCCCTTCCCTTTCTAGCGCATGCTACTTCGAGGACATTCAAAGGTGATGTTACACGGGACGATTCGCAACGGCGATTTTTTGCGCAACACAGCGTTGCAATGTTGGAACAGTGTTACAGCGATTTGAAACAATGTCGGAACAATGTTACAACGTTGTGTTGCGCTAAAAATAGTCGTTGCGAATCTTCCCGTGTAACATCACCTTAAAGGGACTATGATATGGCTGGCTAGTTCATTTTATTTGATCCCAACTACGCGTTGTTTTACGCTATCATGGAACTTGAGCAAGGACAAGATCACACCTTCGTGTTACACGTTATAAACAACAAAAATGAACTTTGAAAAACTGTTAGGCTAACAAGTTTTCAGAAACCAAAATTGCAATCCGTTTAAATCTTCTTCAAGTTTGTCCATCCGAGCCTTTTGTATTTACTATCTTATTAATACCTTTCTTTAACTTTTTGAGCGGTAATTTTTATGTTTCACTCAATTTTGTCACAGTTTCTACCGTTTGAATTTTAATAAATTTCGTGAAAGCTCCTTCAAGAAGGCATCAAATCACAGATAAAGGTGATCGTTATGTCTGTGAAAAAAATACTATGATTTGACCCTAATGACACTATCTGTTTCCAGTTCTTGAGGGAAATTATAACGTGTGATTTTGAGTTGACAAGAAATCATGAAACAGTAGAAGTAATACCACGATAAAATGGGTTGCTGCCAGATTCTCGTGGTCTTGTTCATCCTCTAGTGATCGCTAAAAAAAATTAAAAAGAATAAATTAAAATCAAAATATTATATAATCATAATATAATATGAAAAAAACATAATCGCGAACGATGTTTTTTCACGTGTGAGAAAAATGATACGTCCAATATGAAAAATTAAACAAACACTCCTGATAAGAAAGGCCTCAACTTCATTTATCAACGAGGTTTTATGGTTTTTTCTAAAAAAGTGAAAAACATTTCGGAAATGGAGTGGAATAGGGTCGTTTGAGTCGATAAAAAAATACAGAGCCGGGGCGGAAAGGGTTGTTGTCTTTTTTGAGCTACTTTTGGGAAGCTTAAGCTTATAAAAGCCATTTTACTTAAATTCACTCATTTTCAATTGTGCATTGAGAACAAACAGTTAAGATTACTTATAGTGAAGATTGGCGACCAAAGCGTTTCGTTTTCGTTGTCATTTTGCGGTAAGTGAGGTAGCCACAATTTGTTTTTCGAAAAAACCTAATTCCTAATTCCATAATGCTCTGCTAGTTTTTTTTTTTTTTATTAAATACTTAATTCTGCGTCACCTGTAGTTTGATACTCTCACGTGTCTTCTCGCGACTCTCACAAACGGAGAGCTTGCTCGCAGGCGATGACAGTTTCCTTGACTGAAACTGCGTTTATCACCTTGAATTTGTGACATTAAGACATTGCTGTTCAAAACGTAAGTCATGATTTTGAAATGTATTCCTTAAGTCAGTGGATAGCACTCCATACGAAATAAGGTCTGTTTTAAACACCCGACTTTCTACTTACATGTAAAAACTGATTAATCCCTCTAACATACAGTAACTTTCTGACTTTGTATATACCCTGGGCTGCTACAACCTCGTAAGGAGTTTTGGACTGGGTTGTAAACGGCGAAGGTCCGTGCCGAGACCTTCTCTGGGTGGCCTTACGGTACCCAATCGCGTAACACGCGTAAGTTAGTGGATAGCACCCCATACGAAATAAACCTATTTTAAACACCAGACTTTCTTACTTAAATGTAAAAACTGATTAATCCCTCATAACATACAGTAACTTTCTGACGTTGTATATACCCTGGGCTGCTACAACCTCGTAAGGAGTTTTGGACTGGTTTGTAAACGGCGAAGGTCCGTGCCGAGACCAATCTGGGTGGCCTTACGGTACCCAATCAGGGGCGGATCCAGGATTTTTTTTTAGGAGGGGGTGCACTGGTCTCTTGCTCTACGTCAACACCAATAAACCACATAGTTTTTTTTTGGCAGATACCAGTTGTATTAGAAAACCGCAGGTCATCTCGGGGGGTGCGCACCCCCTGCACCCTCCCCCTAGATCCGCCCCTACCAATCGCATGACACGCAGTGGTAAAAATGCAGGACCGACAAGGGCTAATTGATTACAGTATAAGTAGGCCCAAGTCGATCCGAAAAAGACCACTGATGGTAGACTGGTTGCTTAAAAAACATTTCCAGACCAGAAAGATTGGAAGCTTTTGATCAGACAACCTCGATTAAGTTGGCAAGAAAAGGAGAGTGATGTATATTTACCTTACGCCGTCTGTTGGGAGGAACAGGGCCTTTGTCGGCGGAGCCGAGATTCGAAAGCTACAGGAGAAAACAAAAACGACAATGATGACAAGCTACAAGTATAGACTGCAAAACAGTCGGTTTTTTTTCTCAAATTCAGTAAAGAAATCGTTTGAGTGCATTTATACGAACACTTTCACGTCCAAGGTAAGCCGCGGCTTGAGCTAACCGTAAGTTGAATAAGCCGTGAACTTACACTTTGTACCATTTATACGGGCTGTTCGCGTCTTATATAAGCCGCGGCTTATTTCTCTCGCCGTATGAACGGCCCTAATATGTTTTAAATCTGTGGAGGTGAAATGTTAATATTCTCTTGAGAGCTACTAAGCATGTTGTACTGTTTATTGCGCTGTACAAGGTTGTTATATCTTTCGAATCTGTGGATGCAATCCTCAGTGTGACATTAAAATAAGAGTGTTGAGCAATACCTCTGTGGACAGTGTTTGCAGTGCTATTTAAGTGTTGTTAGCCTGTGGACGAAATCGTGTGATCATTCTAATCGCCGCTTTAGAAACGAGAAAAGGACTGGAGCCGAAATGCGTCCCGCAATTGTTTCTGGGATTATTACAGGGGACTTGCCGGCCAGCCATTGGCTAATTTTTTCCCTGTCCCTAGTAACAGTCCTAGGAGTCTTTTCGACAGTTAACTCGGCCCAGTTACCCTCCCGTTTCTTAAGTGAGGAATAAGTCATTCCCGAGATCGAAGAATTCTCACCTTCAAAACAAAACGAAGGGCAAAACCTTTCTTGTGAAAATGAATGTTATTATATTTGCATGAGGATAAAAAATCTTTTCATGTCAACGGCTTCACACTTAGCCTTGCTTCGATACAAAGGCTTGAGGCAACTCCGAAATGGCCTATTCAAAACTAATTAACCCTTTATGCCCCAACAGTGTCCAAAATCAATTTTCTCCTAACAATATCCATAGATTGTCAAGAGCAAAGTCTACGAGAATTAATAAAATGATCACCAAGAGAAAAATCTTTGATCTTTTATCAAATTCTCTCAACTAATTCTTTGAGGAAATGTATGGAGATCAGTTTGTAGAATTTGTATGTGGATATTGGGGCTTAATGGGTTAGGAGTTATTCAAAGAATCAAGGAGGATGAGTATGTGGTACATTACCGCTTCATAGAGATTCTGTCCTGGTGGGCCCTACAGAGTAAACAAAATAAAACCAAAAAACATGAGAATGTCCCCACATGCAATAGAAACGAGACCCACGTTTATCTATTAATTGTTAGCTATAAAGATACAAAGCTTGATGAAACTATTGCTCATTTATATACGTTGTGTTTCAATTGGGTTTAAATTTTATTTTCCTCTGTATTTGGGCATGTTTTTTTAAAATCATTAATTTATTAAACTAAAGAAAAAAGCGTACAGTAAACATAATACAACATAAATTTACAATAACAAAACAATGTAGTACAACATAGTTTTACAATAGCGAAGTAACAGAAGAAAAACGGGAAAAAACAACAACAACAACAACAACAAGCAGCATATCATAAAAGTCATTAACTCAAGTAGTCACAACGTATATCAGCAATGCACAACGAGGTCCACTTATTTCTATATTTAAGGTCTCCGGTTTTAATAGCAATTTTCTTTCACAATGAATTTTTTCAAGAAGGACAATAAAAACATCGAGTCTTCGGGTCTCAGACTTTGGGTATGGTAATGTGTGATAATGACTTTGGTACCCAAATATGTAGCCTGGCGAATAGCGAGAAATTGGGAAGACTACGAGTTTGCGCACGCATGATCCAGCGTCATTTTGGCAGAAAAACGCGATACCCGTCGTCAATCTACTGCGGGTTTCAGCAGTTGGAGGGGCCGAAATAAGTTATCGAATTTTAGCAGTATATCATTTTTTAATCAGGCGAGGGCTTAACCTCCTTCAGTAAGATAAAAGTAACCGTCCAAACCTTTCTAGTGGGGAAAAAAGTAACATGAACTAAGCTTTCCTGGGTACCAATTTTTTCAGAATACGCCACTTTCACATCTCCCATAATGCATTATTTGCCCCCCAATATTATGCATAAGCATTGTTCTCAATTTCTCTTGGGACGGCTGTAATACCCAGGAGAAATAAAAAAGAAAGGTTATGCAAAATTCTGGGGGGCAAATAAAGTGCATTATGGAAGATGTACAAGTGGCGTATAGATCATCGTCCTCCTCGTTGTCCTCGTCCTAAAATCTCAAGGTCTGTAATAATCTCTTAAGTCTAACACATTTCTCTCCAGGAGAAGGGTAAAAGATAGACTCGATGGGCACGGGCCAAAACTCAAGTAGGTACAAGTGGTCGGGACTGAAGTCGATTGCCTTTTATCGATTGGACTAATAGATACGATTTAGTAACGTTCATCTGGAAGAGACAAAGTTAGGTGTTACGGCAAAGGCAATTAAGTTCATACCTGTTCTCCTGGCAGTCCGGGTGGACCTGGGAGACCCTGGAAGTCAAAAACAAAGATAAATGTTATGCTATAAGTCCTTGATACTGATCACTGTGTTATTTTTTATTACTAGAGGTTGCTATACTATGAACGCGCCACACTCAAAAGACATAGTTGTTTGTTTGTTTTTAAGGTGAGTGGCCAGCACCTGGTGGGAAAGTGCAATGCCTTCAGACAAAACAAAAGTCAAAAGACTGAACAACACAACACAACGGTATAGAGGGGGGACCCTAAAGAAAGAAAGCAGTCGCTGGGGAATCGAACCCCGCCCACCAGCAACAAAACAAAGGTAAACAACAACAGTCTAATAGGTAAACTCCAAAAACAACTGCATTCAGACGCTAAAAAAATAACATTTGCAATACTTACAACTTCTCCATCGTTACCCTACAAAGGAAAAAAACAAGAAAGAAAGAAAAAAAATTGAATAAACTATTTCAAAGTAAGAGGGACCGCAAACAGACAAAAAGACTCTCAAAAAAGTCAACGAATCGTCTTAAGAAAAAGCCTACCGTTCGGCCACGTTCTCCCTGAAAGAAAAGAGATGTGAAAATCATTATCATTTATCCTTAGGCTGTTTTCAATTGATACTGACGTTATTTCTTTTTTACTATCTGATATCCCAGTAATACAAAGAAAGCGATGAGGTAACAAAATTCTTTGTAAACATATCAAAACTATCAGAAATAATTCTCTTAAGAATTTTTCCTTTGAAACCGCCGCCCGAAGCCTTTTTGGTAGACAATAGGTTTGTCGAGCAGGAGGCCACAACCGGATCACCTACCAGGGTTGTGTTTAAAAGGGTGTCTTAGTTACAGATCGCCGCGGTATTGGGTGGTTGTATTGTTAGCTCGATCTGTTGCCCTTGTCTTCTTTTATTTCTGCTTCGAAGAGCAGGTAAAAAACACCACACACGGCCGTTCGATACAAGTACCGAAAGGTTCCCGGCGGTGTGGTCTATCTCTACCTCCGCTATAACTTCACACAAAAGTATCTCGTGGATTTAAAGGAGGGAGTGGGAGTAGTAGGTTTCTGGGAAACTGTCCACCTACCCCTCCCCTAACCCGACATTTTGCCCTAAGTGAGAAGTAAGTTAATCTTGACTTAAAAACTTTTAGGTACAGGAAAACCCCTTTTGGGGTTATTTTAACTCCTAATTTAACCCCGAATTTGGGGTCATTTTTACTCCTGAAAAAGTCTGGAGTTAAAATCACTCCAAAATGGGGTTACTTTTACTCCTTACATGGGTTGTTTTTACTCTTTTTGGAGTTAATTTAACTCTGAAAGTGGAGTAAAAATTTTAGGTACAGGATAGCTTCTTTTTTGGGGTTATTTTAACTCCTCCATATCTGGGGTCACTTTTACTCCTGAAAAAGAGTTCTTTAAACTCCTTTTTGGAGTTAAAATAACTCCCCAAAAAATAACTCCACTGTAAGGAGTTAAATTAGCCCCACTAGAGGAGTTATTATAACTCTCTGAAAATTACTGTGTAGGGCAGGGGTAGATGGGCAGTTTCTCAGAAATCTAAATCGACCAGGGTTTACAGTGAGCTTATACACTGACTTATGGAAGTTGTCTACGTTCATATTGATCTGTTGTCCTCTCGCCCGCTACAATTAATCCTCTCATTATTTGAAAATAATTCCTAATCCAAATTTTATGAGTAAAATACCTGTTTTCCGGGGTCACCTTGAAGTCCTTGTTGTCCCTGATTATCAAAAAAGGCTATTAACAGCATGTCCATAACTTACATGATCCCACTGCATTTACTTATGACCCATTGTTTTACTTTTCTCCATTTGTTTCCAGTTAAGCAAATTCTGTTTTGTTAATATCATGGTCATTAAGATTCGATACCCAAACGTCTAAGATTGAGCCAAATTGGTTCACGGATTACCGCTCAAAATGTTCGCTCAACGTTGCCCGATTTTCATTTGGAGAAAAATAGGGAAAATAGATTTTTTTTGCAGCGTCTTACCCGTGACAAAAAATCTTTTTCGCTCCATTCAAGTCTCCGCAAACATAATTTTTTGCTGGATTTTTTTTTTCCAGGAAGTTTTTGAAGAGTTCTATCTAATCTTCTTTAGATTCCAAATTTCGAAAAATGATGAATGTTTTTTTTACCATGGATGATACCTTAGCGCGTGCCGACGAGCCTGCCAAACCAGTGTACCACAGAGTAATATCTTGAAATATTTGCCTTTGTAAATCAAAGCGACGTAAAGATTAATAATGGTAATTGAACTGACTGGAGTACAATTTGGTCTGAAATCATGCGCGTGATTTTCAACGCGCGAGTTCGATTTGAAATCACGGGTATGATTTCAGACTAAAATTGCGCGACACGAAGTTCAATTACCACTTTATTACAGCCATTTTGAAATCGTAGAATTCGGTCAGTACCAATATTTTTTTGATCTAGTAGCTGGTTTGTTGAAAAGCGGAAACAAAAAGGTTTTTATATCTCATTTTGTATTTGGAACAGAAGTGATGCAAAAAAGGGTGAAAATGGTGCGATTTAAAACAGAAATGACGCGATTAAGAACAGATGTGATTTAGAGCAAATAATAGTGTGACCCGTGAATACATCGCACTCCTGAGAGCCAATCGGCTTGGAAGGATCACCAGGGATTTCAAAATGGATATAATAAAATAATAAATATAATATTTTCTAAGATGGAAAAATACATCTGGTCCAGCAAAGCCTTGTGATCCAGGAGGACCAGCGGAGCCTGCACCACCCTAATAAAACAAAATAGAAGACAACATGAAAGGGCTGTGTCACGCACGGCTGTCTAGATTATAAGGATCATTAGACGTCTCTGGGAAACTGCCCACCTACCCCTCCCTTAAGCCAACATTTTGCCCCAAGTGAGAGGTAAGAGTTAATGTTGGCTTAGGGGAGGGGTAGGTGGGCAGTTTCGTATAATGATGCGATTATTTTGTTAATATCATGGGTGACAAATTACTCCTTAATTCTGGCGCGAAACTTCACCGTTTATATATAATTTCACACGTGAAATTACTAAATTACCATGGCAACGTTCCGCGCGTGTTAGGGCCAAGATGACAACAAAGTTTTAGAATGTTATGAATGAAGATGTCACGGCATTAAAAGACGCTTTAGAAAACCTAAACACATGAAAGAGCAAATAAAGAAAGATTCTACAAGGTATTTTGTCGAAAATGTCTCAAAATTATGAACTTAAGCCGAACATTTAACCTCTAAAGTTCTCAGCGCGCAAAGTTTGTACCACCCTTATTCCGGGTATTATTCCGCTATACATAGCGGCTACTGCTAGAGTAAATAGGGATATTACCTTAGGTCCGGGGGGACCTGTTGTTCCGTTGTTCCCGTCATCTCCCGCTTCACCCTACCGACGAAAAGTACGGAAATTAATGACAAACAATCACCGAACAAAGTCAACGAATTTAAGCACAGTTTAGTCTTAAGTGCAAACCTACACTACAACACAAATCCTCTAATACTTTTTATGAAAAGGGGAAAAATTAAAAAAAAAAACGAGTCACAAGAAAAAAGAATTGACAAATCCTGTGTCTGGAGTGGCGTCAAACATCACTCACTCTCCTATTGGTCAATTGTCATGACCTCACCGGTGGAACTTTTTACCAGTGAATTTCGCGTCAAACAAGTATTAAAAGTCCCTTAACATGGCATAACTAAGCAGAAAAAAAAATTATAAAGGACTTTAAGAAAGTCTATCTTAGAAGTGGAGTTCCCAAGAGTGACAAAAAACAATTTTCCTGACTATATCAATACAAAACCAAGAGAAAAGTTGATGAAAATTATTAAACTGATCAAGGAAAAATGCTTTGATCTTTTATCAAATTCTCTCAACTAATTTCTTAAGGAAATGTATGGAGATAAGTCTGGAGAATTTGTAGGTGGATATCGGGACTTAAATGGTTAATATACATATGCGGTACCAGTGGTCCCGGAGCTCCCTGCTTTCCAGGTTCACCAGTATAACCAAAATCACCCTGAAAAAAAAAAAACAACAACAAACAAGTTAGTCTAAGTTTACTTTGTCTACGTTTTATTGCGATTTTTTGCTATTTAGGTCAGCAGTCTGCCCCAAGCGCACAAAGCACAGTGCTATTTTTACTGAAAAATGGAAAACGTTTTAGAGTAGACTTACCTTAGGTCCAACGGGTCCAGGTTCACCTTCATCTCCTTGCAAACCAGGTGGTCCCTATATATTAACAAAAATATTTGTAAGTTCTGTTAAAGGAGAGTCTAAGAGCAAGGGTGGGGCAGGAGTGAGAGAGGGAGAGGGCACTCGCCTCCGATTATTGTGGCCAGGGTTGAAATCAAGGCGTAGACGCCACTTTCGAAACGGGAAGGGGACTGGAGACGACATGCGCCCCGCAAGTGTTTATGGGATCGTTACTAGGGACGCGCTGGTCAGCTATTGGCCATTTCTTTCTCGGTCCCTGGTAACAGTCCCAGAAGTCTTTGTGAAAGTTCACTCGGTCCAGTTTCCTTGCCCTACGTGGGTTGAGTTTGTTCTTGGTTCTCTCCCTTGCTCCGAGAGTTTTTTTTCCGGTTACTCCGGTTTTCCCCTCTCCCAAAAAAACCTGGACTTCCAAATTCCAATTCGATCTGGAACGCACAGACACGTTTAAACGAGTGTTTCAGTGATTCGTGGGTAATCAAATTACACCTAATATTACAATTGGCATCCGGAAATTAATTCACGATGACGACGTTGGACTAAAACTCACCAGAATTCATCTACAGAACATCTGCATGATTTCATGGGATAAGTACAAAAAAAGGGCTTATCCTGTTAATAATAGCGCCATTTATACGAGGAAAAATAAGACGCGAACTTTCCGTATAAACGGCACATTTCGTCTAAAATAAGACGCGGCTTAGCTAAGACGCGTCTTATTTTAGAACAGCCCTTAACACCTGTTCTTAGGTAAGACGCGTCTTAGCTAAGACGAGAAAAACTTCGTATAAATGAACTTCGCGTCTTACTTAAGACGCGAACGCATAGTACGCATGCGTAAATTTTTGGCGCGCCACGTTAGATTGCCGTTGCCACGGGCAACATTCACATAAAAACGAGTCAAAAACAGAAATAAGACGCCAACCATTTATACGAGCTGTTCTTGTCTTAGATAAGACATGCTCGTGTAAATGGTACAGTTCGCGTCTTATTTAAGACGCGTCTTATTTTTCCTCGTATAAATGGCCCTAATGTGTTTTGTCGCTTACCACTTATTTAAGTCAATAACAAAAAATTCAAGTACTGAGTTCTTAACAGAAGCGCTTAGGATTATAACTGATGGACTGTTAGTCTTCATCCGTTGCGCCAGGCGTAGTTAATCGATAACAATCCATAGTAATCCATTTTGTTCATCGATAATAATCGGCAAATTATTTTTCTCCGATCTTTGACTCTGATCTACCGATTTTCGATATCAATCGATAACAATCGGCGCGGATCAAATCGATTGATATCGATTGATTTCCGATATCGATTTCTACCGACTAACTACGCCTGGATTGCGTGAATATTTCCCGAAAACTGAAAGAGGCTTATATTCTAGGAAGCTTATAACGGGAACAGAAAAAGCGCTTCGAGACAAGCCAGAGTAGTGCTGATCAAAAAGCGTTTTGCATTTGACTGGTTTTTAATTAAGCTTGGAAACGTCATGATTTATCGAAGTCAGTTCAATACAAGCTAGAAGGGGGATTAAATACAGGGAAGGCTCATAATCGAATGTATTTTTTTGTTTGCAGGTAGATGGACCTATAATCGCGCGTGTGTGTGTGTGTGTGAGGGGGAGGGTGGAGATAAGGGGACGTTGACGGTACAGGAAGTACCCTTTCCTGAAGCAAGGGGGAGCTTATCAGCAGAAGTTAACGGTACAGAAGTACCCTCCGCTGAAGCAAGCAGGGAGCTTATCAGCGGAAGTTAACGGTACAGGAAGTACTCTCCGCTGAAGCAAGGGGGGAGCTTATCAGCGGAAGTTAACGGTACAGGAAGTACCCTCCGCTGAAGCACGGGAACCGTTCTTTTAGTTAAGCTTACTTCTGGACCTTGAACACCTCGTTCTCCGTCACCACCGTTTTCTCCAGGGACACCCTGTCAGAATAAAAAATATAAACTCATTTAGCCTTTTCCGGTGGACTCGGCTGCAAGCGAAGCGATTAAACACATATATCTACTGATTTAACTAACAGTATGAGATTATCGCCGAGAGCCTGTGTCAAAATGGTCTTTCATAACGTTATCAAGAGGATATCAAACAAATTTCATCAGGGAGCACTATAAACACAAGATATCCTACCTTGACCTCATCCCCACCCTACTGACTGCACTTTCTAGTCGCCCATATCTCCGGATTCAAAATCAAGTCTCGGAAAAAAAAAGCACTTAATCGAAAAATACTCCTGGCCTCAGTTGTTTAACAGCCGGATAGCACTACCCACCGGATAAATTAGTAGATAGACATATATCCGGTGGATATCGTCAGTTATCCGCCTTTGGAACAACTAGGGCCTATAATTTGGGTCAATAGATCATTACACGGGTTTTTCAACCTTTGACTGAGACTGGTTAGCGAAAATCCATCAACACGGCTGGAACGAACGGGTTGAATCAGTAATAGCGAGATTAAGATTCACGTTTAAGGCATACGGCAAACGGCAAACGTCAGTTGAGAATTTCTTCGAATAGAAAATAAGCAGATAAAAACAGTCCAGAACGATTCTTTTGGATAAAACTGGCATAAAAGTACTTATTTTTATGTAGAAGCAATAAGCAGTAAACGAAAAATAAGGGGAAAACTTAATCACTTGCTGTTTGGCGTTAAGGTGAATCTTAATCTCTATAATGTTGTACCTTGCGAGCAGAGGCTATATTTTCGCTGTGCGAGCTGTCGTGCGAAACGTAGCCTCTGCCGACAACCGTTCAAATCCGTCCGGAAATGTGAACGAATAAATTAAAAAAACGGGTTTTTTCCGGTTCACAGCATTGTGTGAGTCTTGCGTAGCAGATCAGAGTTGTCGCATTTTTTTTATACCCGCGAAACTAGCGCCATTTGACGACAGACCTGACGATAAATTTTCCTTGCAAATCGCGTGATGAATTTCGCGCAGGCACGATAGAAAATTGAATGGTTGTCAGCAGAGGCTACTTTTCGCACGACAGCTCACACAGCGAAAATGTAGCCTCTGCTCGCGGGGTAGTAATGTTGCCAAGTTTGAAAGCGATTTGTTGAAAAATAAACTATGGTTTGTGAAGGGGGCGGAGGGGAGGGGGCGCAAGTTTGTGCCCCCACCATACAAGCGTTCGTCTGTAAAATTTCGCGATTTTGTGGAGCAGTATTTTCCCCCACTTTAGACGTAATACCCTTAAACTCGGTAAGTTACCGTACTCCAGGAGTGTCGATGGGTGTTCGCCTACTGCTCTTTAACAAAAGTTAAAGGGGCTGTGTCACGGCAGTCCACATCATTTTGTTTAAGTTTGCCAATTACTCGCCCTCAATCGGTATGGAACTTAAAGTAAGCAAGGAAATTACATGGAAATGACAAAATCAGACATTCGAGACAAACAAATATGTTTCCTGAGCATTATTTTTGAAGTTAAAACAGCAGAGATCAACTTTGAAAAACTGTTAGGCTGAACAGTTTTCAAAAACCATAATTTCAATGTGTTTCAATCTTCTTCAGTTTTGCCCATCCGTGGCATCTGTTTTATCTGTTGTGTTATTTTAATCTTCCTTTAATGTTTTAAGCAGTTATTTTTACGTTTCTCTTAATTTAACGGCATTTTGTAATTACCTAATTTGGCTTAATTTCGTGACACAGCTCCTTTAAGGTAAGAAGAAACCGTGAAACAGTCAATTGCCTGACACTCACATTTTCTCCCGGCTTGCCTTCTGCACCCTTTTCACCAGTTGGTCCTGTTGGCCCGAGAGATCCAGCATTCCCGTTGATTCCAGGGGGTCCTCTATCTCCTCTAACGCCCTAGTAACACATGAAAAACAGAGAGTCAAAGTTGATAATAAGAAAAAGATAAATTTTCCCCCCGAGCGTTTGTTAATGAACAATTAATGAATGAGGCTGAGTATTTATGAAGAATTATGGAGATCGAGGAGGGTGTTATCTGTCGAGACCGTAGGCCGAGGCGGATAACACCCCCCGAGATCGCCATAATTCTTCATATGATACGAAAGCCGAATTCAATAATTGTTTTATTATTCATTCAAAATAATTCCTAGTTTAAAAACATGCTTACCTACATCGATCCATCGATGTTAAGTTCATCTTTGATAGTGCATGTTTAGAATTGTTCAGCTCCGCAAATATTCTCCAAATAGCAGATCTCGCCCTTCGAGTTGTCTTCTTGCTATTCTTGCCATGTTTTTAGCTATTTTTTCGCCTAGTTCTTACTCTTGAAACGAGTGAAATGTCAGCCATTTTTCAAGTTCACAACCAAAACAACTAAACCTCGTCCCCAGGTCTTCTTGGTTAACAGTACATTAACCTGCAAGAACGCTGCATTTTTGACGTCATTTCCTCGCTAAACACAAAATTCTTCCAAATTTGGTCGTCAGTAACTGGTTATGGTGAATTAAACATGTGCTTTTAGCCAATCAGAATCGGGGAAATATTTTGAATGAATAATAATTGTACTTAATATCTATTTCTTATTTTCATCACAGTTGGGTGGTTGGTTGGCATCAAAATGTACACTAAACTTTCTTAAGGTCCTTGCGCGATGTGAGGAAGTCAGCGTGCTCCAATGTACTCGCGAAGATGGGAAGTCCTGTGGCTACCCCAAAACCTGCGACCTGCTCGCCATGTGAGTTGTCCATAGCTCAGTGGTTAGTGGGTCCTACCGGTATCTGGAAGGTCGTGGGTTCGATTCTCGCCGGGGCTCGGATTTTTTTCCGATCATTTCTTAATTGTACTTGTTATTCATGTACTTGTTATTAAACTGTAAGGCGATTCTAACCTTTGAGTCTGAGGACCAAATCCTATGGTGTGACCATTCAAATGAAACCTCTCCACCAGTACTTTCACATGGTACTATTTATTTAGTATGTAGTTCTAACTTTTGAGTCTGTGGACCAAATCCTATGGTGTTACCATTCAAATAAAACCTCTTCAGCAGTACTTTCACATGGTGCTATTTATTTAGTAGGTAGTTCTAGCTTTTGAGTCTGTGGACCAAATCCTATGGTGTTACCATTCAAATGAAACCTTTTCAGCAGTACTTTCACATGGTGCTATTTATTTAGTGTGTAGTTCTAACTTTTGAGTCTGTGGACCAAATCCTATGGTATGACCATTCAAATGAAACGTCTTCGGGAGTAATTACACATGGTACTATTTATTTAGTATGTAGTTCTAACTTTTGAGTCTGTGGACCAAATCCTATGGTATGACCATTCAAATGAAACGTCTTCGGGAGTAATTACACATGGTACTATTTATTTAGTATGTAGTTCTAACTTTTGAGTCTGTGGATGAAATCCTATGGTGTTACCATTCAAATGAAACCTCTTCAGCAGTACTTTCACATGGTACTATCTATTTAGTATGTAGTTCATTCAAATGAAACCTCTTGGAGTCTGTGGATGAATTCATTTAGTAGGTAGTTCTAGCTTTTGAGTCTGAGGACCAAATCCTATGGTGTTACCATTCAAATGAAACCTCTTCAGCAGTACTTTCACATGGTACTATTTATCTAGTATGTAGTTCTGACTTTTGATTCTGGATGAAATCCTATGGTGTAACCATTTAAATGAAACCTCTTCAGCAGTAGTTCGAACTTTTTGAGTCTTTGGATGAAATCCTATGGTGTTACCATTCAAATGAAACCTCTTCAGCAGTACTTTCACATGGTACTATTCATTTAGTAGGTAGTTCTAGCTTTTGAGTCTGTGGATGAAATCCTATGGTGTTACCATTCAAATGAAACCTCTTCAGCAGTACTTTCACATGGTACTATTCATTTAGTAGGTAGTTCTAGCTTTTGAGTCTGTGGACCAAATCCTATGGTGTTACCATTCAAATGAAACCTCTTCAGCAGTACTTTCACATGGTACTATTCATTTAGTAGGTAGTTCTAGCTTTTGAGTCTGTGGACCAAATCCTATGGTGTTACCATTCTGAAACCTTTTTACTTTCACATGGTACTATTCATTTAGTAGGGACCAAATCCTATGGTGTTACCATTCAAATGAAACCTCTTCAGCAGTACTTTCACATGGTACTATTCATTTAGTAGGTAGTTCTAGCTTTTGAGTCTGTGGACCAAATCCTATGGTGTTACCATTCAAATGAAACCTCTTCAGCAGTACTTTCACATGGTACTATTCATTTAGTAGGTAGTTCTAGCTTTTGAGTCTGTGGACCAAATCCTATGGTGTTACCATTCAAATGAAACCTCTTCAGCAGTACTTTCACATGGTACTATTTATTTAGTATGTAGTTCTAACTTTTGAGTCTGTGGATGAAATCCTATGGTGTGACCATTCAAATGAAACCTCTTCAGCAGTACTTTCACATGGTACTATTCATTTAGTAGGTAGTTCTGAGTCTGTGGATGAAATAGCTTTATGGATGAAACCATACCATTCAAATGAAACCTCTTCAGTAGTACTTTCACATGGTACTATTCATTTAGTAAGCTCTAGCTTTTGAGTCCGTGGACCAAATCCTATGGTGTTACCATTCAAATGAAACCTATGGTTTCACATGGTACTATTCATTTAAGGTAGTTCTAGCTTTTTTGAGTCTGTGGGCCAAAAACTTCTCACATTGGTATTATTCATTTAGTAGGTAGTTCTAGCTTTTTGAGTCTGTGGACCAAACATGGGTTACCATTCAAATGAAATTCATTTATGGTACTATTCATTTAGTAGGTAGTTCTAGCTTTTGAGTCTGTGGACCAAATCCTATGGTGTTACCATTCAAATGAAACCTCTTCAGCAGTACTTTCACATGGTACTATTTATTTAGTATGTAGTTCTAACTTTTGAGTCTGAGGACCAAATCCTATGGTACGACCATTCAAATAAAACCTCTTTGGCGGCACTTTCAAGTCAGTAATACTATTTGTTTTTAGCCTTTTGCAAAAATGAAATTCCGAAATTTCTACTTTTGGGAGGGAAAGGGTTAAGTAAGGACTTTTTCTTACTTCTTCTCCATCATCGCCGTCTGTACCTGGATCACCATTTTCTCCAGGTGTACCCTGAAAATGACGAGAACAATAGTGAGTTGTCTAACCTTAACTCTACTGCTGCCTAAGTACTTTGTTTAAAAAAGGCATTTTTAGAAAAAATGTTGGCAACAAAAAATTTGCCCAATTTCTAGCACAAAAAAAAAAAAAAAAAAAAAAGAAGCACCAACCGGAAGTCCATTAGCTCCTTTTGCACCAGCAGGCCCACGAGCCCCCGGATACCCCTGTAATATAATTTCATATCCAACAACCTTTTAGTAAACAACACGCGAAATTATTTTTATTTCGTGTACAAATCTTTCACTCAAGCGCGCTGCGTTTACACAAAAAATAAGAAAAACATCGCATGCCTGAAATAAATTTTAAACAAAACGTGCTCAGGTTTTTCCTTGGGCAATTTTTATCGAGAGGTAATCCCTGAGAATGGCCAATTAACTACTTCCATTAATGCCAAAAGAAAATTCAGCATAGACCAGTGGGAACCGTATATAATAGATTGCATTCGAGGTTCTGGTATCTATTAAGTGGATGACCACTAAAAAGTCACAGAGTTAATTCGATGATATTTCCAATAGAAAACCTTAACTTCGTTGACATCTTCAACTTAAAGCCAGCGGATAAGTACTCGCTTGGAAAAGGCTCCGTGATCCTATATCGCAAAGGTGTGCCAAATCTTTTGGCAGAGAAAAAAAAGATAAGTCAAAATTTCTGCATGTGGATTTTGTTTTTCGTAGCTTAGCACGTGATCGTTTTTTCCCGTTAGAAAAAGATCAGCACTTGGTAGAACAGGACACCCAAGATTACAGGTGCTGTGTTTAAAGCAACCATACACGCTCACACAAAAGAATTTTGATTTAGAGATCGAAATTTAGGGTCGATTAGAAGGAGAAGGAAAAGTTTGTCGTCACCTGTTTAAGTCCTCCATAAAACGTGAAACTAGGCATTTTCACGTCGCAGTCGTGCGGTAACGGCAATGATCGTGATCCACGTACAAACTTGTTGTTTTACTCAATAAAACTATTGCTTTTTTGACGTTCGCGTTGCCGTCGCCGTCGTCGTTGCTAAAACTCCCTGCTGACATTAATTTCGCGAACGGAGAGTTTTCGCACGTTTGTACTAGTACCAAATCTAAGTCAGATGTCTTTTTCCGACATTTCTTAGTTTTTGCACGCGAGTATTTCAGAATTACTTAAACCTGCTGCAGATGAAACTTGCATTTAGTTTGATGGATAGTCTTTGTGTGTTTCAAAGGTGTGCTCTTTTGGTTTCATTTAACGACGAAAGTAGCCGGGGACCATGCTCTGAGTAGCCGGGGGAAATCCCCTGCTCCCGGCCCTTAGTGACAACCGAGACAGGACACCTAAGATTACAGGTATTGTGTTCAACGCAACCATACACGCTCACACAAAAGAATTTTGATTTAAAGATCTAAATTTAGGCTCGATTTCCGCCGTTTTCTCGATCCTCCTCGAGAAGAGACTGTTCATAAGAGGAGTGCGGGCTCATTTCTCGAACAGCGGCTGGTAACCACCAAAAGTTCCTAGACAAAACTTACAGAACGTCCTTGCTCGCCATCTTGTCCAAGATTTCCGGCAGCTCCTCGGATACCCTAAATGAGGCAATCACCAAGAACAGTTTAGCAGCCCGTTGATCGAATTGCCGTATTTAATCGAATAAGCGCCGCTGCGCTTATTGAATTTCCCACGCCTTAAATGCGGCGCTTATTTGAAAGTTGGACGCGACAAAGAATTGTTTTAACGCCGGTATTATTATTCTTCTGAATTAAACTAATAGAACTAAACGTCTTTTGACTTTGATTATATCGGATGCGCCCTTATTCGGGAGCCGTCCTTAGTTCTCCCAAATGCAGCGCTTATTCGGGACGGCGCGGATTCCAGTAAACACGGTACGCGTGAGCAATCACATCACAAGGGGGGGTTGGATGCTTATGGCATACAGAATTTTTCACTCTAGCCAGTTCTTAGGTGGAAACCGCCGATTTGGTTGGCAAATTCTAGCATAAAAGCCAGAAGCCTCCAAGCAAGGGGAACAGGTGCTGATTTGAACAGTCGTGGGTGTAAAGGAGGAGAAAACAAGGAGATAAACTGAAATAATTCTCACGTCTTCTTTCCCAAGAAGCACCTAAGACAATTTTGGAGTAGAATTGCATCAAAGTACCACAGAGCAAAACATAGTGGGTCTGACAATTTTGCTGAACTTTAAACTTTAAACGGTAAGATTTTATGGCAGTTTGAGGGACAGTTGTTATAATGGTGGAAAGCCGCTAGGGTGCAAACAAATCTCATACATCATCATAATTTGATAAAGACGGCAATTCAACTCCCTTTAAATCTACGCACAAGGTGTCAGTCGGTATTGGGCCCCTAAAATCTACGCATTAAGTGTCAGTTAGCCTGAGGAAAGGTCACACATGTTGCAAATGGCAAATTGTCAAAACAAGGGACAACGGAACTTTGTGATTTTTTAAAATAAACATAAAAAATCCATCAAAACAAACAAACCATTTCTCCGGTATCTCCAGTTTCTCCTCGTCTTCCAGGAAGACCAGGCAAACCCTAGAACCAAAATAAGTGTATGTGAAAATCAAGTCCTGGTGATCCTGTGCGTTTAACGTCTTACACAGGTGTGGCAACAAAATGTCATTTATTTATATTATTCGTCGCCTTTGCTTGATGAAGAGTAGCAGCAAGCGGTCAAAAAGCCGTGATCAATATCAAGTGATTATTGCCAGAGGAACGCTGAAGAAGGCGATCATTTAACCTTCTTAAAAAGCCCTAAGAGTGATCAGCATCAAATTTTTCATTGTAATATCAATGCTTTGTAAAACAGAGTGGTCATGAGAATTACGGACATGATCACACAAGATGAATTTGCTTGATATTTCATCAACTTCTCCCCACTACTTCTGTAGGAAATGAATAGAGGCGACAAAGGAGAATTCAAATTTTGATCTTAGGGTCTAACGGGTTAAAGAGGCTGTGTCACGGCTGGGAAGTTCATTAATTGTACATAGCACAATTCTGCGTCTTTATTCGCTATGAAAATTGACAAATATCTTGTGAATGACAAAATTGCAGTTTTGTCAAACAAATATCCCCCTCACCCCCAAATCATTATTTCAACCGTTACAAACAACAAAAATGAACTTTGAAAAACTGTAATGTTAAAAAGTTTTCAAAAACCACAGTTTCAATCCGTTTAAATCTTCTTCAAGTTTATCCATTCGTGCATCCTTTTGTATTTGCTGTGTTACTTATACCTTTTTTCAACATTTTCAGTGGTTATTGTTATGTTTCACTCAATTCAGTGACAGTTCCCACTGTTTGAATTTTGATAAATTTCGTGACACAGCTCCTTTAACACAACGGCAAAAAATTTAAGAAAGTGAAACACATGGCGGCATAGCAGGGAAAGGTGTAGCTATCTGAACAAGATAAGCCTGAGCGTGTTAAAATCTGGTTTTATCAACTGAGTTCGTTAAGTAGATTGGCTATGGTAAGGGAATTGAGAAACTGGGGTTAGACAATTAAATCACGATGAAGTATCAACACAGGGGAAGCTTTCAAGATCCGCGATCCTTTCAGTATCAATTGCTAGCATCAGTTAACCCATTGGCCGAGTACACAGATTAATTGAGGCGAAAAGCTGAAAGACCTAGTTCAGTAACCGGAGCAATTTTGAGCTTTAATTGCACGCAGCATCTAAGAAAATATCAGTCAACGAGAACTGCAAAATTGCTGAATTGTAAGAGAATTTCTCCGAATTTATTTTGTATATCGAGCTCAAATTTACTAAAATTGCTAGGCAGAGAGAGAGGTTATTTTCACCGCTCGAAAACAGAACGATAACCACAAGTTAATGAGGTAAAACCGCAATAAAAGATTCGCCTGAAGTCAAAAATTGATTGTATTTACTGGGGGTCCTTTGTCTCCTTTATCTCCACGAGTTCCAACACCACCGCGAGCGCCCTGAAAGAAACAAAAAAATAGTCTAATTATATTTCTACCTAATTGCTTAAAAAAATTAAATAAACACCCCACAATCCTTGACAATGCTTGAGGCACCAGGGTGTGTGGTGCGACTGATTAAGCGAAAGCTTCTAAGCAGTACCATGGTGTCATGGTGTTGTTGAGTATTGAGGTACAGCGTAGAAAATAGGCAGTGAAACCTCTATTAAGCGGACACTTTCGGGACCTTCTTAAGTGTCCGCTTAATTTTGCAAAAACTGTGCAACGTTTGTTAACGATTAACACTCGACGGTTACTCTGTACAGTGATAAAGTTTTATGTTGTTAAGGAAGCTAGGGAGGCTGTGCTGTAAATGTGCAAGACTTTTAGGTCAACTTTGATCGCGGATGACAATTATACGGTCGGATATCGGTCTAATCTACAGTGTATTGACAGCTATTGCTAAATGTA